ATTTGGCTTTGTCACCATGACCAACTATGATGAGGCGGCCATGGCCATCGCCAGCCTCAACGGGTACCGCCTGGGAGACAGAGTGTTGCAAGTTTCCTTTAAAACCAACAAAGCCCACAAGTCCTGAATTTCCCATTCTTACTTACTAAAATATATATAGAAATATATACGAACAAAACACACGCGCGCACACACACACATACACAAAAGAGAGAGAAACAAACTTTTCAAGGCTTATATTCAACCATGGACTTTATAAGCCAGTGTTGCCTAAGTATTAAAACATTGGATTATCCTGAGGTGTACCAGGAAAGGATTTTATAATGCTTAGAAAAAAAGAAAAAAAAAAAACAAAAAAATACCTTTGATGCATTGAATGTTCTTTCATAGCTGTCGTTGTTGAATATAATATACATAGATAGCGATGTGCAGGGATTTTTACCCAGCCAGCTAACTTTACTACCTTCCTTGAAGGTGGATCTTTTTAAGATGACCATTCGCTCATTTGAAGAAGAAAAACAAAAAACAAAAAAAATAATAAAAATAAAACAATTTTTACAAAGTAATGGGATTCAAAGAAAGGAAAAAAAGATTTTTCTTTTTTGTCAAAATGTCGATCCAATCAGATTGGTAAAAACCCCCACACAAATTAAAGAGGAATAATAAAAATTGCAAAAATTAAAAAAAAAAAACTTTTGCAAATTTTTTTATTTTTCCTTTTTTCTTTTATATCATGTGAACTAAAACAGTCTTCTGTTAGGGGATGGGGGCAAGGGGGATACCTGATGACATTAACAATTTAATAACATTAACATTGTTGCCAAAGAGGTGGTCTCTTTGCTGAAAATGGGTTTCAAGAAAAATCTATTTTTATAAAATATAAAGAATTTTTACAAGAGAATCTGGATTTGAGAAAAAAATATTTTGACTGGCTAATTTAGGGGAAATTGACAACTTTGTCGCGTTCATACTGCACTGGTAACTTTTTAGAGATCAAGATGTGTGTTTTAAACTGGATTCGTAGACTGTTTTTTGAAGGATGGGCTATAAACAGATGATCTTCATATCTTTTCATAGCATGTAATAATAATTAAAAAACAATTATTAATTACTAGGGGAAAGGAGTGTTCGTTCTACCCAGGGTACCACAGTTCCCCACAGTCAAAACCCAAAAGCAAGGAGATGAGTTGAAAGACAGTTTTTCTTTAAGTCATCAGTATGGGATGTCAGCAGAACAAAAATTAAAAAGATTAATTTTCCTTTTGATCTAAAACTTCCTTAGTTTGAGCAGTAGGTGCTACGAAATTATTTACATATCTTAGTATCATAGTTAAATGTAATGTGTTTAGGAGAGGAAAACAAAAGATACATTTGCTTTAAATTCATTAAGAAATTTTGAAATTCACTTTGTAGCCCATGCTGATAGAATTGGGCTGTGTTGGTACATTTGAAACACTGTTTATGTTGCTTGAAACACTTATTTATTTAATCGCCGATGTGATGATGCCTATGGCCGAGATCAAATATAGCTAGATTGGCTAGACTACTTATTTGTTTACTTAAACTATGGGAAGAAGCATATTATTGTGTCATTCTGTTGTGTGTGTATGTGTATATACAATATAAATATATATATATAAAGTTATTTTTTCTTTGGGTTAATTTATTATAAGTTGTAACACTTGGCTAGTTTTGTTTGTATATGTCTTAAAATGTTTTCTTATGATATTTAAGTGACAGTTAAAGAGGTATCAAGGTAACTTGTGTAGAACTATTGTTTGATATATTGTCATGTTTGTTGTGAATATTTTTTCTTACTGCACAGTAGAAAAATAAAAACAACTGAGTCTTTATTTTAATGTAACTCAGATTGGGGAAAACAAACAGAGCTAAGGGAACAAAATGACTGAGGGAGCACTCTCCCACGTCCAGTGCACTGATCATTTTAGTATGTTTGTGCTTTGTACGGTTATATATTTAAAACAAAAACAAAACAAAAAAATACAAGGGTTCATGCTCTTCCCTGGGTAATAGAAACAGTTACTCGCTATGCATAATCTAGTTGATAGTTAAATTTGCTATTGCTTTTCTTGTCTTGTTATATAAAATCTTTTCAATACAAGTTTAGTCTTAATGGTAATAAAACGTTATGGTTATTTATAACTTGTGCTTATTTTGTGCATTTTTTCCCATGCTGAACCCACTAAGTGCATGTAGACAGGACTGTTGTTTTCACACTGAAGAGGCAAACTTTGTAGTAGTCGTCGTAGTGGTAGACAGATTACGAATACCAAGGCTGCATCATAGACTCCTCCTTTAAATTTTTTTTCTGTTTTTTTTTCCTCTTTTCGGTTTTGGATATAACACCAGATTTCAGTTCAGAGAACACTCGTTCAACATTCAGGGAAACCTTTTTACGTCACCTGCTATGAATGAACGCAGTTTGCTGGCAAAGTTTTGATGCATTTGCTAAGCATTAGTGGGAAAGGCATGCCAAAATCTTCTCTATAATGTGTTCAATCTTGGGGGAAAAAAAAAGGAAAAAAAATCTTAGGACCAGGCAGTTGTATACTTTAGTTATTAATGAATGACTTCATGTTAATCTTGCTAGTTTAGATTATTTCCAAGGGAAAGTATTGTAAATGTTTTTTTTTCCATAATCTTGTTGTGTTTGAATTATTTGTACTTTATCTGTCCAGACAATAAATGAAAGTGTGTAGAATGGATTTGACTTCCCAAATTTTTAAATGTGTTTATTTACACTTTTTTCCTGTACCATCTTCAGAGTTCCCAATATTTTAGCCCAGTCCCTGAAAGTCAGCTCGATATTCAGAAGTCACTGTTCTGGTTCCATGCTATTAAAAGTGTGGTGGTCCGCAACCAGCAGTATCAGCATCATCTGGGAGCTTCTTAGAAATGTAGAATCTGCATTTAACCAGATCCCCAGGTGAATGAATCACTGGTACTTTCAAGTTTAAGGAGCACTGCCCTGGTTGATAAGCCAGAACACTTGGCCTTACCTTTGGTGTTACGATACATTAGCACCTGTTAGTCATTTATAAGAAGGCTTGTGACTTATTCAGAGGACAGGGAGCCACCATTTGCAGAGCATCTATTATGTAACGGGCAGGCTGTATAGTATCCTCTACATTCTCTCACTTTATCCTCAGCAACCCGAGGGATGTAGACAACATTATCCTCATTTCACAGATGACAAGACTGAGGCTCAATAACAATAGTAACTTGACACCAAAAGCAAGTTTCCAGCTAGGATTTGATCCAAGTCTGATTCTACTGCACAGCACTCAGCATTAAGGTTGCAGAACTTGAGCATTAAGAAATATTAAGAAAGCAGACCGTTTGTATTGAAAGTGACAGCTAAGCAAGAAAGGTCACCTTATTTTAGCACTCATTTCTGTTTAAAAGTAGGAAATATTTGGCTGTCTTACCTCTGAATAAAAACTCTAAACAAGGAATTACTCATAATGTGTCTAAAGAACATGATTTATGTTCAACCTAGGGAGAAAAATACTGCCTATATTATCATGAAGTCACATTAAAATATGCCCTGAACTTTACAGATTAGCTTTTTAGTGATTTCCTGATACAATCACTCATTGATGATCTACTGTCTTTCATTTTCACTTTCTCACTAACTGAAAATTCATACTCTATAAAACATTGCCATCCATAAACTGACACTTCATGAAATGCCCCCACTGAGCCAGATGAACAAATAGTCAGATTCTCTTCTATTTCTAATTAACCTCTTTTTTATTATTATATTAAGTTACCACATTGGTTGGAATAATTAAATTCAGGGCAAAGAATGGTATTTAATTAACCAAGCTAAATATTAAACCTCTAAGTCAGCCCGAACCTCATATAGTTGAACTTAAAGGTTCTTATTATAGTTTTATCTTAAAGACAAGCCCGTACGTTTCTTTTCTGGAGAAAAAAAATGGGCATTCAAAAGAACAGTTTCCCACAGGGATAACACAGCTTTACAACTATGTTTGTAGGTCTAAAAATGTTGCTGCCAAACCTATGATAGTTGCCAGTCATCACCACCCCTGCTCCTTAAAGGTGTCATTTTAGTGTACTTTAAATGGACGGCTGCATTATTTTGGAATACCCGAAGTTGGTAGAATCTTCCCAGTTCATGTAGTTCATTCACTAGGTTCTCCTACAGATCTATGTTGAAAATTTTACAAATAGATGTAGGTATTTAAATAGGTCTTGAAAATGTCCGTAGAAGACATTCTACATATACTCTCTCAGAAACACTTTCTAGCATCAGCACAATGTGTCTGCCTAACATCTAATAAAAAATTCATCTTGTTGCGAGTATAAGCCTGTTACCTTAAATCTCTAGGCAAACATATATGGTTTCTGTAGGTGTTTATGGAAAAGGTCTAACAAATAACAAGAATATTGAGATTATTACATTTCTTTGAGGTCCTAGGTACATTGTATTTTGCTTGGTTGTGAAATTGCATGTCATAGAAAGCTGACGGCATTTACTTAGTGTTATTTCTGTCAACGTGATAGGAGGAGTGCAAAAAAAAAAATGTGCTTGTGTCTAAAACCACCCCACATCATCACCATCAACATCAAAACTTTGCTTACTTCTATTACCGAAGATCAAACACTGACCAAATGATGGCTACTGCCAGAAATTTTTATCAGCTGAGGTCCTGTTTAAATGTCTTTCATCAAGATCAATCAACCTTCGTTCATTTGTAAATAAAACATTTTAACCCCCAAAGAATAACATTTAAACGTTTGAAACTCACAGGGTCTTGTGGCGCCTGTACTCTCCTTGAGTCAGCATTTGGGTGTAGATACTTTTAACCTTGTCAAAATGCAGCACGCAATTGCCTTTGCCATAGGTAATTCCGGAAACTCCCAGTCCTTGAAATTATTTTGCCGTTACTTCCTGTAGGCACTATGCATTTGTTCCTTAACAGACACACACATGCAAACACACAAGGCAAGTATTTGTGTAATTATGAATTTTTTAACTTTCATCTGTGAATTCAAAAATGATACCTGATAAGATAGTGTTAACAATAAGAGTGTGTTTTCTAAACCAAAGAGTCATTAAAATCTTAATTTGAGGCCATCCTGCCTGGATCCTTCCACAGCCTTCATGAACGCTCACAGAATACAGCTTCCAATATCCTCGCACCCTTGACTGCCTTTGTTCTACCTAAAGAAGAGAATAATAAAAGGAAATTACATTTTATTTCCATGAGCTGAAATCAAGTTTTAATATTGTCCAAAAATGACTCGTACCATTCCCTTATCTTATTAGCTTTTTGGCATATTAGGTAATAAGATAATTTCTCATGGTACAGTATTTATGTAAGAATCATATTTCTCTCTGTGCAGATCACTTACAGAAGTGTCTGTTAACAGGAGAGAATGATACATAATCGGCACTTAAGATTAAAATAGACCTGAGAACATAAAAGTGTTCCTTCAATTAAAGGAATAGTGTTTCTCCCATCTCATCCTTTTTGTTTCTGCAGCAGAATGAAAACTGGTTTAAAATCACCCAACCCCGGGTTAATTCCCAGAAGGCTTTTCTATGCAAGTTCAGCTTAATCTACTAGTGGTTCAAATGCAAAGTGGACTCACATGACATTCCAGTATGCCATGTAATTATTTCAAACAATTTTTAGCAAAGTCCTTAAGGTTTAAGAAATTGTTTCTAGAAAGACCAGTGACATTTATTAAGTTTTTCCTATGCCAGGCACTCTATATGTATATAGTGTTAGTGAGGGGTATCATCCCCCTTTTACATTGAACAGAAGGAAACTCAGAGAGATTAGGTATTTTGTGAACGTGAGTAAGTAGGTGGCAAAGCCAGAATTCAAACCCAGGTCTGTCTGACCCCCAAGATCCCCAGTTATATACCCTGGCTCCAAGTCCATTATGTTAGAATTAGAGCCAAGACAATTACCAAGTGGTCCACACTTCAACTAAAGGTGAGATGAGTCCTATTATGTCGGAAATAAAGGAAATTACATTAATGTACTGTGCCTGGGTCTAACCCTTTCCCCAAATATTTAATGGAAAAACAGACCAAATAACAATGGTTTACAGGCAAATTAACAAAGGAAAAGTAAAAGTGATAGTTTTTAAGCACTGTTGCTCAGCAGTATTTAAAAAGGGAATTAGTTTGTCAATAGATCTATTTTAACCAGTAAAAATCATTGAGGTAGAAAGGAGTTGAGGATAGGACAGACAGATAAGAAAGTTAACAAGCCAACTTAAGGACCCTCGGAGCTCTGCCCCATGGGTCTCCCCAGGTGATAGGTCCCACTGTGATCCACAGAGGGGTCCATTGTGTGGACCAAGAGCACCATAGTGGCCACTCCTTTCACTATCTGCATTGCCTCTGAATCCTCAGAACAATCCTGGGAAGCACATAACATAATCCCCATTTTACATCTGACAAAAACAGAGAAGTTAAATACCTTGCCCAAGATTGCACAGCATGTTGCAGAGTAGGAATTTGCACAAAAGTCATCTGGTTCCGATCCAATGTCTTTCTACAAAACCATATTGATGGCTTTCAATGCGACACCATTTGTTGATCATCTGCCTAGGTCTGAGGTATGGCAGGGTGGGGGTTGAGGGAATCAGCCTAAGCCTTGTCTACATTAGAATCCTTACTCTGAACACCTGCCATATGCCAGATACTGAGCTAGGGGCATGACAACAAATAAACATGTCTAGCTTTTTTTGGTATACCTGATTTGTGCATGAAATTGTGCAATGGTTATGACAGAAAACCAAAAAAGCAGGAAAGAGAATTTAGAGTTCTATTACAAAGACAAGACCTTTGGAACAATGATCTAGCCACAGAGATGTAGCACAGGTAACTTTTGTGTTGGAGGGAAAATTTCAGGAGATTTTGAAAATCTGTGGACAGTGAAAGGAGTATTCTGGGACCCAGGAAGGAAGGAGAGTTTGCCCTGATGGAAAGAGGACTAGCTCTAGGGAAAAGGTTCTGGGTTTGGGTCCCTGGGACAAAAATTTAATGCCTCTGAAATTCCTGATCAGACAAGGGAGGATTAGAAGTAAAATATGCCAAGTTCCTGTCACTGAATGAAGAGTAGCAGGAATTAAACAATAGCCAGAAAGAGTTCCCAGAAGAAGAAAACTTGGGTCAGGCCCTTTGGCAGGGAGAGGTGGGTTTGGTGGATGCCCCTGCATGTGAAGAACCAAGAAATCCTGTTTGAGTTCTTCAAGTGAGGGAGGGAAGAAATAGTAGGAATACATGTGGGAATAAGTTGCTGGGAATCTCACTTGGCCTCATGGAACTTAAGCTGCTTTTGAAATACAGTAACTCCAGCCACGTAGCAACAAAAGCTCTGATTGCCCTCAGCAACCAGAGACCCTATTGGTCCCTCCTCTGGTGTCTGGCCATTACAGTGACTCAGTCACTCCATCTCATTCACCCCTGAGACTTAGACCGCTGGGAGCATCATGGAAGAGTCACAGGGACTTCGCCTCAGGGTAAAGGAGTGGAGGCCGTGCTAAGGAGCTTAGGTGGGCAGTAGCGGAAAGGGAGAGCACAGGAATAAAAGGAAAAGGGTTGGTCACGCAGGCTGAGGCAGGAAACATCTTTAGGAAAGCAGAGTACAAGAAGGCTTTTGAGCAAGGAAGTGAGGTCCCTTCATTCATAAATATCTAGTAAAGGGCAAATATCTCCAAGCCCTACTCCTCTTGGCTGTAGGAACAAGAAAGAGTCAAAAGCTCTGTCTCAGCCAAATGGGAAATGAATCCAATTAAACCATTTGTAAAGGGTAGTCTTCCCCAGCTTGTCACACAATCAGCCTTGTCATTGCCTGGTTACTTAGCTCTGGAAAGCCCTTGAAAGTCAGTTCAACTTCCTCATTTTAATCCTTGGGAGAAAAAGGGTTTTGAGTTGTCCAGCCTCCACGTCACCCTGTGTAACTAGTTATCATCTTATTCCACAAATATTAGGGTTCCTCTCCTTAAAATGCCCTTTCCTCCACCCCAAACCCACGTTTTTCTCAAAGCATGCATGCACCACCCACCTGGCTAGTCCTGCTTGTTCAGCTCAGGATTCACTACCTCCTGGAAACCTTTCTTGACCGTGGCTGGGTTAAGGATTTCTTGATAATCCCACATCCCTCTGCTTTCCTGTATCTCAGCATACTCACATACCATATTTGTACTGCTGTGTGCAGCCTCCATGGGGACAGAGGAATCAGGCATGGTGTCTGCGTTGGAAAAGCTCAGGTGTAAGCAGAGTACAGAAGGGCAAGAGCAAAGCTGCAGGGTGTTTGGGAAGCATAGAGAAAAGAGCAGTCAATTCTAACTTTGTGGGGTGAAGTGAGGTTGAACTGTAACATGAAAGGAATCCTAGACCTGTTTAGAACTCAGCTGTCTCATGAAGGATAGAACACACTTGGACAGGTAGACACTGGAGTGAGTCAAGGAGCATCCTACTGGGAACAATGGAAGTGATCCAGGACCGGGAGTCAGAATCCTCAGCTCTGCCCCTGACTTGCTGTGTAGTATTGGGCAAGTCACTGCCCCTCTCAATTTCCCAGAAGTTAAAGGAAGGTGTGGGATGAGATGGTCTATGATGGTCTTGCTCCTACTGACTTCTAGACATTCATCTGCCCCTACATTTTTCATAGGGTCAGCAAATATTTATTGGCCACCTATTATGTGTCACTGAGGAAACAACGAGAGGATGAAAAAGACAGCTATATACTGCTGAGGTGAGTGCTGTCAAGGTCAAGTGCAGGCTGTTCTGACAGTGAGCAAGAGCACCTGCCTGGCTGAGGAGGAGGAGCACCCTTTCTCAGACTGTGGCATCTGAGCCAAGATCTGAAGGATGAGGACAGTGTGTCCCATCCCAGGCCAGGGGAACAGCATGGGCAAAGGGCCAGAGTAGAGGGAAACAATGTTCAGCTGAGGGACTGAGAGGAACCCAGTGACTCAGCTTTGGAGAGGGGAATGGGGTTGGGGTGGGAGTGGTAGCAGGGACCAGATTATGAAGGGTCTTTCAAGCCACAGAAAGGACTTTGATCCTTAAGAGTAATGGGGAGGGCCTACATTTCAGCCAATGGATTCTCTTCTCTCAAACTCACTTTACTCATTGTGATTAATAATAAATAATAAACCCCCTCTCATATATCTATATCTAACCTATATATTTATATCTTTCAATCTATCATCTCCTATCAGTTCTGTTTCTCTGGAGAACCTTGACTATTACACTCATCTGTAAAATAGAGATGACTGATAACAGTACTTATAAGGCCTCTTATAAGGGACTTATTCAGTGTTGAGAGGGTCAAATGCATTAATATGCATTAAGTGCTTAAACACTACCTGGCAGATAGTAATAACTATATAAATGTTTGTTATTACTATTGCTATCATTCTTATTATTCATCTGGCTAATTCTTACACATGCCTCAAAATTCAACATGAATATCCTCTTCCCTGGAGCTCATTCCTCAATGTCTCAGACCAAGTTATGTACCATTTATCTGTGTTCCCAAAGTCTTCTCTTACCCTGTAGAATAGTTTGTTGTCTACCTCTATGCCTTCTCCCCTAAATCATAAGCTCAGCAATGGCAAGAACTGTGCCCTATTCATCAGTACAAGGTTGTCCATAAAAGAATGTCAGTGAAGGTGTGCAGCTGTGGTAGGCTGAATAATGCCCCCACTAAAGATGTCCACATTCTAATCTGAGGGCATGTGAATATGTTATCTGTCTTAGTTTATTTGTGTTGCAGGATTTTTCCTTAGTTCAGCTAAAGACAGGGTTCTTTGTCCCACAGTCATGACAATTCAGGCTCACAGACAATTTGGATGGTGACTAAGACAGGGTTTTATTGGGTGAAGTGGAAGTAAAGGAGGAAACCGGGACTCTCACAAGGCCAGAGTCCCTGCTAGAGCACTTCTCACTTGGCCATTCGAATCCCAGGTCCCACACAGGAAGAGGAAGGGCCAGGCTCTTCCCTGCTGCAAATGTCATGAACTTCCCCAGGCTCCTCCTCAAATGGGCAGGCTGGATGGAGTTTCTCCGTGGACCTCCTCCCACCTGGCTGTCTCATTTGGGCTGCTATAACAAAACATCTTACAGTGGATAATTTACAAACAACAGAAATGTATGGCTCACATTTCTGGAGGCTGGGAAGTCCAAAGTCAAAGCACTGGTCGATTTGATGCCTGGTGAGGATTTGCTGTCGGTCTCATAATTGGCACCTTCTTATTGTGTCCTCACATGGTAGAAGGGGTGACCAAGCTCCCTCAGGCCTCTCTTATAAAGGCACTAATACCAGTCAGAAGGGTGGACCCCTCATAATCTACTCACCCCCCAAAGTTCCCACCTCTTAATAATACAACATTAGGGATTAGCTTTAAATTTACTAATTTTGAAGGGACATAAACATTCAGACCATTGCATTACCTTAAATGGTTAAAGGGACTTTAGAAATGTAATTCAGTTAAGGATCTTAAGGGGAGATTATCATGGATTATCCAGGTGGATATATATATATATAAATGTTTGCTATTACTATTGCTATCATTCTTATAATTCATCTGGCTAATTCTTACACATACCTCAAAATTCAACATGAATATCCTCCCCGCTGGAGCTCCTTCCTCTACCTCTCAGACCAAGTTAGGTACCATTTCCAGGATTGCCCAATGTAATCACAAGAATCCTTTTAAAAGGGAAGCAGGAGGATTCAGACTCAGTAGTAGGAGAAGCAACAATGGGACCAGAAGATTGTAGTAATGCGATGAAGGACCCATGAGCGAAGGAATGCATTTGGCCTCCAGAAGCTGAAAAAGGTAAGAAAATTGATTTTTTTTCCCTGAAACCTCCAGAAGGAACACAGCCCATCTAACACCTTGATTTTAAACCTCTGATCTTCAGAACTATAAGAAAATAAGTTTGTATTGTTTTTAAGCCACTATATTTGCGGTAAGTTTTTATAGGAGTAATAGAATACTAATACATCAGCCAAGCATAAAGCAGGAGTTAGAAAAAGGATAGTTGTGGGGAGAAGCCAATGTTTAGTCCAGGCCCTCCCTGGCATCGGTGAGAATAGGAACAGAGTTGATGGTGGCCGCTGTATCTACACTCTTTCTGTATCTACACTCTTAACACACATTCATCACTCTGGGCCCTCAGGAAGCAAGATACCACCACCATATTAGCATCATCATCCCCGGATCTCAGGGACTTGGTGGATGGTGGAGGAGGCAAAAAATCAATGGGTCCAAAGATATCAGTGAACTGTCATGCTGGGCTTCAGAAGAGACAATTTGGAGTGTAAATTAGGGTAATAGAACAGTGGCCTGGGAGATCTAGGTTCCTGAACCAGTTCCTGGGTTCAGTTTTGCATGTAATTCTGAACAAATTATATACTCCATACTTGCTCTTTCTCTTATGTTCCACATCTCAATTAATTTTGGGAAACCCAGGAGTATTCCTAAACTCCCTCCCCTCCTCTCAACCATCTAATCAATTACCAAACCCTATCAATTTTATTCTCCTGAAAATTTCTCAAATTCATCCCCTCCTCTCCTCTTTATTGCCACTACCCTGATTTAAGTCTTATTACTTCATTCACAGGCTATTAACCAAATCCCTTCTATGTACATGGATTCAGACACCACCCTCACAGGAGACCTTCCCTCCTCACCTTCTGCAACTCCACCTACCCCCTCTGTCAGGACAATCTATCTAAAATACTCATCTGGCCAAATCACTGCTCCACCTAAATTGCATCAGTGAATTCCCATTACCCAGGTGATACAGTCCAGACTCCTGAGCATGACTCACAAGACCTTGAATCATCTAGGCTCTGGCGGCTTAACCAGCCTCATCCCCTTCCTCTTCCTGCCTCACAGTTTGTGGTCCAGCCCTGCAAAATTACTACCTGTTCCCCGAATACAACACAGTGCTTGTCATAGGCCTTCTCCCATTAATTCTCTTCTTCCTTACTAACAGAATCCTGATTTTATTAGGGCAACAAAATGTCTAGCCACAAAACATCTTTCACATCACATGACTCTGGCCAATGAGAAGTAAGAATTCCCTTGTGAGTCTTCTAGGAAAGCTCCTCAAATGGCAGCAAACTCAACGGGCATGCTGTTTTCCCTTTGCCATTGCCCTCTTTTCCCTCTCCCTTCTTCCCATCTGGAATGCTGGTGTGATATCTAAAGCTGCATGTGCCATATTGCAACTATGAAGCAACAGACAAAAACCATGAATGGCAGATTAGAAACACCTGGAAAGCCTATGTCCTCAGTGGTATCCCTAGGCTGCAACAGCAGCCCTGGATTATCTCCTCGGAACATATTATTTGAGAAAAATACACTCCTTACTGAAGAGCTTCCCAATAAATGAACACATTCTTTATTAATGTGCTTAATTTATTTCTTCAACCCTCTGATTAGACAGATGGGGCCCTGTGCTGTTAGAGTCCCCAAGCCATTCATCTCTGGCCCCAAACAGCCCGTCCCTCTACCCTGCTGGGCCATACAAACGTTTTCATATGTGTACTGCTGTGTAAAAACAAATGTTACACAACTTTGTCTGTCTGGTTTAAGTCTGCTTATTGCTCTATCCCACTTGACCATTGCCTATGCACTGAGATTTCCAGTGTTCCTCCACGTGCCTCCACTGCCAGAAGCTCCATCACCACCTGCCTCCAGATTTTCATCAACTTATTGCTGCCTGCATTAGTCTGCCGTGCATCTAAGACTCCTCTTGGGCGACTCGTCCAGTAGCACTGATCTATCTTTGACCCCCAATGCTCCTTGGGGCCTCAGTTTCTGTCATCATGCTGACTAGAATATCTCAACATCTTTGCCCACCTTCACATCTCTAGAGCTCCTCTCTCTCTCCCCAACTCTCCAACCCGCCTCTCACTCTCTCACTCTTGCTTGTCATCAAAGATGCACCTTTCCTTTCTTTTATCCCATTTTGATAAAGAAGGAACAGTTCTACCACAGAGTTGCTTGGATCCCTAATGACTCAGTAAACTATATATTTACTGTCAGGGCCTGGTCAGAGGCTAAGAAGAGCTTTATACTGTGCCAACAAATAGTGCTCTTTAGCCCTGAACCCATTTGCTACTATGGTCCTCAGTGCTAGACTTTCTCCTCGCCTAATATTTTTTCCCAGGAGTCCCCATTATCCTTATCATAATCTGGATTCCAATGCAATGCCCCCATCCCCATGACCTCAATGCCCATCAAATAGGATTATATACCCATCCAAGTTCCGACTCACGGGGTCTATGCCAACCCAGGGATGTAGCTAGACACAAGAGGGCATGAAATGTACATAAAGTCCTGAGCTTCCTGCTACTGAATGAATAATTAAATTCTCCAAGTCTCAGTTTCCCCATCAGTAAATGTAATAGCAGGACTACCTGGTCTGTTTCATCAGCCTGACACCAGCAAGAACCCCAGGGACAAGCTTGAGGCCCCAGACTACTTTAGAACCAATATAGGAGCCAGGAGAGAAGGAGAAATGAGGGGGAGAGGAAGTTTTCAATCAGGTGCTGGGCTTTCACTGCCAAAAAATTTCCCACAAACAAACCCACCCCAGCAAAGGAAGCTACTGTCGGCTGGCATGTTGCAGAAAAGAAGGCGGGCATGAGGCCTCATTAATCCAGCGACTGTGGGATCAGTTGCAGATACCCCCCAGCCCACCCACTTTTTGCCATCTGCTGCTGCTGCTGCTGAGCCAAACGTATGCAGCTCTGGTGGGAGCCCAGCCGGAAGCCAGAAGAGGGGCCCAGACCCTTTTGTATGGGGCAATCTCAGCAGCAGGGACCCTTGAGCCCAGACTCATGCCCCAGCTGTCTCCCAACCCCACCCCCATCCCCAGTGCAATGCCGCAACACTCCACAAGTTGGAAGCCGCTGAGGGAGAAGTCCCAGGGCCCTGAACAAATATTAGACAAATAACCGACTAAACTGCATTGATTGAGAACTCACTGTGTGCCAGACACATACCTTATATCCCATAAGTACTATCCCAAACCACACAAAGATTTCAAAACTACATCTGTCATAATTATTGATGATTTCAATATGCACAAAGACAATCTTTCCAATACCTGGGCTCCCCAACCTACACTCCTCCTTCCACCTCAGTTACTCCCTCCCTGCTCCTCCCTTAGGCCTTAATAGCTTAATTTCAGTTGAAAGCTTCCTCTTGTCAATATCTACTTCCTATCTCACTCCCTTTACTATCCTGACTCAAAATAACCCTTCAACCCTCCTGGGACCTTCAACTCACTTTTACTGTCCCTCACCCCCACCATGTCCTCACTTCCCTGTCTACCCAGTTTAAATTCCATATAAAACATATAATCCTTCCCTTGTGTACACTTTCATTTTCCTCACCCTTCCCTCAGTTCATTGTATTCTTTTGTTTCAACCAAAGCTCTCCATCTACTGTGTACCTGCACCCTCACAGCTGAACACGCACTGCAAGAAAAAAACACATATTCATGCTAACCAGACTCCCTTTACATTAGTGACCACCAGCCTTGTGTGGGCCCTAAAACTGCCGAAGCTCGCACTGTATTTATCTAGTGCAATCACTCTCCCTCTCTCCTAGACGGTATTTTCCTACTTTTTCCTCTTTCTTCAAACCTCTAACACCTCCCTCATCTTCATTCTCAACTGAAGACCCAGCTTCCTATTTCACTGAAAATTGAAACAATCAGAAGAGAACTCCCACTAATCCCCTGCTCCCCCTTCTCTCGTTACCATGGATGAGCTGTCCATTGTTCTTCTACCTGTGTGTTAAATCCCACCCCTCACCTACTCAAGAACATAGATCTAGCAGTTCTCCTCTCTTATCCTGCATCATTAGGTTATTCCCTCTCTACCGAGTCATTCCCATAAGCATACAAACATACTTTTACTTTTCCCATCTTAAAAAAAAACAAAACTCCCTCTTTACCCTAACTCTTACTATTACCCCATTTCTCATTTTCCCTTAACAAGAAAACTTCTTAAAGTATAGTGATATTCACTGTCCAATTTCTCTTTTCCCATTCTCCCTTGAACTTCAGTAAGATCTGCTTCCCCACTACTCTTCCCAAACTGCTCTTGTCAAAGTCACCAGTGATCTCCCCGTTGCTAAATCCAAACGGCAAGCCTCAGTCCTCGTGGTACTCAATCTTGCAACAGTATTTGTCTCAGCCAATCACCTTCTCCTCCCTGAAATGCCTTCTTTACTTGCCTTCTGGGACTCCCCATTTGGCATATTTTCTTCCTACCTTTCTGGCCATCCGACAGTCACCTCCTCTGTTTGACCTCTAACTGTTGGCGACTAAGTTCTAGGAATTCTTCTCTAACTACAGTCACTCTCCATGGTCACTCATCTAATGTCGTGGCTTTCAATATAATTAATGTTCTAATTACTTCTAAATATATTTCTAGCACAGACCTCTCTCCTGAACTCTGGAGACATATGTTCTACTGTCTAGTATACATTTCCACCTGACTACCTAAAGGACATCTCAAACTTGCTCCCCCCCCAAAAAAAACCCACCCAGTTTCTTTTTGCCCTTTCCACCCAACCTGCCCTCTCTCCATCTCAACAAATGGAAGCACTATCATCTCAGTCACTCAGGCCAAATCTCTTGGAGTTACACTTACCTCCATTTTTTCCTACTATTCTCTAAAAAGTCTCCCCATTGCGTACAGATTTGTATCTGTTTTGTCACTATTAAAACTTCAGCTCCGAAAAGAGTGCCTGGTCCTTAGCAGGTACTCAATAAATATTTGCCAAATAAAGGTATAACTAAATTATTCAGCTGTTCATTCAACAAATAAAATAATTATTACAAATTGTAATAACAGATAAGAAGGAACGTGCTTTTGGATAAGATAACTGAGAGGTTCTGCTTAGAAAATAACAGAGGAGTTCTCTTTTCCCTGAGGAAATGACTTTGAAATGAGACAGAATGAGACATTGTGGAAAGAGCCAGGAAAAGAACATTGATGCAAAGGCCCAGAGGTAGGTGTGAGCTTAATGGGTTCTAGGAAACAACAGATGGCCAGCGTGGCAAAAGAACCGAGAGGGAAGGGAGAAAGGTACTGTGAGACATCGGGGAGCTGGAGAAGTAAGCAGGGGCGAAGTCATGAAGAGCCTTGAATGCCAATTGTGGTCATTGTGGCATTCAGCACAGAGATGAGGGCCCAGAAAGCCTCGGGAGAGGGAGAGGGTGGGGTGAAAGTTAAAGGCCAAGGGAGGGGCACCAGAGACTCCTCCAGATTCCAAGGTCTGCACCTCCTACTATATAGAAAGCCAAGGACTAGAGTGGTTCACTCTCTTGGTCCAACCCAGGGTTTTATTGTGGGTTTGACAAAACTAACCAACTAAAACTCCAACTAAAAGCAGGAGTGGATTGGTTATTCTAACTTAGTTATAAATCTAGTAACTGCTTGTATTTACCTCATGTCACGTAGTTTAACTGTCTCTATGGGTGCCCCAGAGGGCAGACACTATCTGTGGTTGAAATATGTGTCTCTCTACAAACCATAATTCTGGGCCCTCCTAAGCTCAGGCCTAGTAAGAATCTCTGCTGCCAACCAAGTCCCTATAAGATGGCATTTAAAAGCAGCCCCTCACACACTGCAAATCCTAAGTGATAATATGGAACTTATAGCAATGGGCACTCTATCCCCATCCTCTGACTTTAGGACAGGACTAGAATTTAGCACAGAGCACTCAGTGGGTACTCAAAAATGTCTGTTCAATTGAATAATAGGAAGGAATAAATTCAACATCAGTGAGAGCTGCATGGGTGACAATGAGTGAATGAATGAAACCCTTTAGCCTCTCTCACTTGCCTGTCTTCTTATAGAAGGTTCAAACCTCTTCCATCTTAAAAACAAACAAAAGACCACCTTGCTGGATCTCCATGCTCTTCCTTCTAGACTTCTCCTGGAAACCTTCTCTCTCAAGTTCCTTTATAGACAATTTCTTGGGTGTCTATACTTACTTTTTGTGGGAGATTTTACCCAATCCCATGACTATAAGTACAATTTGTATTCTGATGGACCAATCTATATCTTCAGCCTCAACCTTTGAACCTATGTTTCAGGTATCCATTAGACCTCTTCAACTGGATGTCAACAGGTACTTTTGGACATGTCAACTTGACATGTCCAATACAGAACTTAGTATCTTCCCCCTGAAATCTGTGCCTCCTGAGGTGTTCTCATGTCAGGGGCTGTCACCTTCAGTCATCCCCATTTTATCTGGGTTTTGCCCTTGACTCCCCATTCTGCCTTATCATACACATTCCACCAAATAATAAGAATTTCTAGATTCTAAATCCTGTCTCTGAAATGTCAGTTCTCCTTGGATTCTTTCTGTAGGGGGTGTTGTTACCAAGGGTGGCCCCAAACTGTGTGAAGGATAGAGAGATCAGTCAGAGGCTCCTGGGAGCCTGAAGGGAAGGAGAGTCCAGTGGCCCAGCAGCGCTTGGCCCTTACTGTGAGCCTTCTCAGAAATTCTCTCTACGGCAGTGGCTCATGGTGGTGAGACATGTCCCAAAGAGTTAAATAAACCAAAGACTAACAGAAATTCTTAGTTTTCAGGATGGCAGATAAGAAAAGAAACAACCTGTCAAAAAACACTGAAACTCCCTCCTCTTATGAGATAAAAGAGCTGATTGAAATCAGTTGGAACCAAGATGCCCAACTGGAGCTTGCGCAGAGTGAGCTTGCTGACATCACAGCCACTACATTTCACACCAACTCCTCCCGAATTTGCACATGCAAACCATGAGTTAGCAAACTAACTAAAGTAAGTCACATGGGCATGCCTAAATACAAGGGAGCAGAAAAGTGCCAGAAAGGAGAAGATAAGTGAGATCTCTGTGGACAACCACAGAGTGAGTGGGTCATATCCATGGAGAGACGTGTGTGCAATATGCAGCTAGTGTCAATGATAGTGGAATGAATCTGCATGCAACTCCAGTAAATGCTTACAAGAGTATGTTAGTCCATTGTTGTTCATATTCTCTCCCCCTCTTGCCTAACGCTTGCATGGAATCTGGTCTAGTTCCTCAAGGCCTTTCCCTGTGTCAATGCCATTTTCAGAGTACTCTCTCTACTGAAGATAGACAGTCTGGGGCTCCACTGCACCTCAACACCACTGTCTTTTGACAGAAACCCTAAAACACTGGGCCTTGTTTTCATTAAAATAAAGCCCCTAGACTCCTGGAACTTGGTGATTTGACCACCTGCAAAGCAGACCAACAATTCTATTTCTTCCAATTTCCCCATTCCTTATGTTAGCCAGTTTCCACTTCCCATTTGCTCTTTCTTTTTTTCTAAGGACTCCTGATGTACTGTATGGCTGGCCTTCTCCTATCCTCATCCCACATACGTACTCTAACTCTGCTCTAAAATAAGACACAAGCATTATGGAAAGAACATGGGGTTGGGGTCAGACCTAAGTTCAAATCCTGACTGTACCACTTACTGACCATATGACAGTTGGTTTTCTTGTCTTGTAAAATAGGGGCAAAAATGACAACCACATGGATTACAGTGAGAGTTAAATGAGAATGTATGTAAATCACACATAGTAAATTAAGACAGCTGTTTTTGCTGTGGTGATCTTATGGCCATATGTCTAATCTTCCCTACTAGACTAAAAAGTCCTTGATGGCAAAGACCTAGATTCTTGCCAACACTGACTCCCCGGCCTCAGCAACTAGGGCAGTGTCTGAAACCTGATAGGTGCTTAATAAATATTTGTCAATGAATATAAAGAGTTTTGTTAATATCAACTAAAGAAGATCCTGAGACAAGCCAGATAGCACAGACACACCAAACCAAAGCTGGATCTATCCTCTCTGAAACTGGCATCCAGTTGTCATCATTTTTATATATATTGAGAATTGCACACATTATTAAAATCTCAAAAAATGACTTCCCTCCCAGCTGGCCTTCTGCTGCAATGAAATGACAAAGATCTGACATCTTCATCATACAATTACTAAAACATCCGTTTGAGTTGTCATTTTAAAATATTTGCCCAATTTAGCTGGAGTTTGAGTTTAATTACAGGAAGAAATGTGGGCTTGAGTAAGGTTACACTGGATTTGGGGAAGGGAAGAGCAGATAACTGGATCCCTCCCACTCACTGAAAGACTTCAGCTGGCCAAGATAACTCCCAAATAAGACTAGACATGTCAAATAAAGCAAGAAACACAAAAGAAACTTGGAAACCTTGAAAAGAAAGACAAGGTCATGGAACAGGAGTTTAAGCGGGCCTTGCTGAAGCTTAAAATCCTTCACTGTCCCTCCAGGGCCTCAGAACATAAGGTACGATGCCTAGCCTGGCATTCAAGTTTCCCGGGATCTTGCCACCCCTCCAGTCTCTGCAACCCTTTCTCCTCCCTCTCCCAACTTCCCCCCATCACTATCAATCCCACTGACCTATGGACCTTGGGGTCTCTTGAAGCTTCTTTCTTGACTGGGCCCACTTTTATTTCTTTTTCACAGTGGCCTAGGCTGGGCAGGTCTAGTCCATCTGCCAACAAATATTTATTTGGGACTTCTTATGCACCCAGCATGTGCTGGGGACAAAGCAGTTAACACAACGAAATAAAATTCCCTGGAATGAAACAGACAATAAGAATAACCACATTAAAAAAACTATAGCCTTTTAGATGTCGACAATTTCTTACTAACTTAGTTATTTTTTCTTTTTCTTTTAGGACTGGTAAGTGAAGGTAACAAAAAAAAATTAGTGCTTGATTCAAGGTAGTTTTTGAAACATCTTTCTTTGATCTTCTAAAAACTCAGGGCAACACCCAGAACCTTCTCTTACTATTGTATTGACACCCATTAACTGATATTTCTTGCACATTATATTGTCCTTCTGACTACATAGGGAGCTACTTGGGGGCAGGGATGGAGTTTGATTCTCATGAAGGCACTGGAGACTATCTGCTGAATGAATGAGGGGGAGATTGTGCCAACTCTGAGCTACCTGTCTAAAAAGGTCTTCTAGGGATAAAATCCCTATGAGCTGAGATGCCTGATGACTTTATAGCATCTTGGAGAGAAGTATGGCTATTTCTCAACCCAACTCCATGGAAATAATTATTGCAAAACTCACCATCTAGTGAGAATCTTCTCTTGCCAGGCACCATGCTGGGCCCTCAACATAGAATGTCTTTTTAGTAAGTAAAAAGTTCTCCTTGGTAATCCTCACAGTGCCAATAACTGTGAGAAGTACATGGAAATTACTAGCTGCTATCAATATTACTGTGTCTAAAACTACCGTTTTCCCCTGCATTAGAACAATCTGAACATTGTTAGGCAAAGACATCTAAGCAATTTTAAAATTATTTGAGTCATGACAGAGAGACTCACAACTGAAATATTTACCTTTCAATTTCAGGTGAGGACGTTCCCGGAGATTGAAGATGTGACAAGTTCCCGCATCGTGTGAGCATCAGAGAAAAGTTCCCCTGACAAGTCACGTGCAGAGATAGGAACCGTTGATTAAGGAGAGGATTAATTTTATCTTCCAAGTATTTCTACTGGGAAATACTCTTAGATTCATAGAATAGTGGGGCTGAAAGAGTCCTTTGAGGTCTCCTCCTCAGCTCCTTTGTCTTATGGATGGGGAAACAGAGGCCCAGAGATCAGAATTGTATTCTAATTATTCAGCCCTCCTTCTACCACCACCCCCCCACCCACAATCCATTCTCCAACTAGAATTTATTGAATGATTAAAGGAATAAAAATGAAGGAGGCATTTGGTCTTGATTCACCCATTCATTTATTCAGAAAGTATTTATTGAATATCCACTATTTGCCAGGCACTGTTCTAGGCACAGGGAACAAAGCAGTAAACAAACCAGACAAAAATCCCTTCCTTCATGGAGCTCACATTCTAGAGAGAGGCAGTAGACTGCATAGATTGTTGAATGGTTATAAATGCTAGAGAGAAGAATAAAGCAAAAAGGAGGGTCAGATACATGGTTTGGCTCTGTGTCCCACCCAAATCTCATGTTGAATTGTAATTCCCAGTGTTGGAAGAGGGACCTGGTGAGAGATGGTTGAATCATGAAGGCAGATTTCCTCCTTGCTGTTCTCATGATAGTGAGTGAGTTATCACGAGATCTGGTTGTTTGAAAGTGCGTAGCACTTCCACCTTCACTCTCTCCTCCTCCTGCTCCAACATGTGAAAATGCCCTTACTTCCCCCTTACCTTGAACCATTATTGTAATTTTCCTGAGGCCTCTCAGTCATGTTTCCTGTACATCCTGCCAAACTGTGAGTCCATTAAACCTCTTTTCTTCAAAAATTATCCAGTTTTGGTTGGGTGTGGTGGCTCACACCTGTAATCCCAGCAATTATGGGAGGCTGAGGCAGGCAGATTACTTGAGGTCAGGAGTTCAAGACCAGCCTGGACAACATGGTAAAATCCTGTCTCTACTAAAAATACTAAAATTAGCTGGGTATGGTGGTACATGCCTGTAATTCCGGCTACTTGGGAGGCTGAGGCATGAGAATCGCTTGAACTCAGGAGACAGAGGTTGCAGTGAGCTGAGATCACACCACTGCACTCCAGCCTGGATGACAGAGCGAGAGTCCATCTCAAAAATAAAAATAAAAATAAGTTACCCAGTCTCAGGTAGTTTTTTTGTTCTTTTAGGGGGCTTTTGTTTGTTTTTTTGTTTGTTTGTTTGTTTTTTGAGACAGAGTCTCACTCTGTCACCCAGGCTGGAGTGCAGTGGCGTGATCTCAGCTCACTGAAACCTCTGCCTCCCGGGTTCAAGCAATTCTCCTGCCTCAGTCTCCCCAGTAGCTGGGATTACAAGTACATGCCACCATGCCTGGTTAATTTTTGTATTTTTGGCAGAGATTGGGTTTCACCATGTTGGTCAGGCTGGTCTGGAACTCCAGACCTCATGATCTGCCTGCTTTGGCCTCCCAAAGTGCTGGGATTTCAGGCGTGAGCCACTGCACCTGGCCTCAGGTAGTTCTTTATAGCAGTGTGAGAATGGACTAATACAGAAAATTGGTACCAGGAGTCAGGTATTGCTATAAAGATACCTGAAAATGTGGAAGCAGTTTTGGAACTGAGTAATGGGCAGAGATTGGAACAGTCTGGAGGGCTCAGAAAAAGACAAGAACATGTGGGAAAGTTTAGAACTTTCTAGAGACTTATTGAATGGTTGTGACCAAAATGCTGATGATGACACAAACAATGAAGTCCAGGCTGAGGTGGTTTCAGGTGGAGATGAGGAACTTACTGGGAACTGGGAACTTACTGGGAAGTAAAGGTCACTTTTGCTATGCTTTAGCAAATAGACTGATGGCACTGTGCACCTGTTCTAGACATCTGTGGAACTTTGGACTTGAGACAGGTGATTTAGGGAATCTGGGGGAAGAAATTTCTAAGCAGCAAAGCATTCAAGATGTGGCCTGGCTGCTTCTAAAAACATATGGTCATTTACATAAACAAAGAAATAAACTGAAACTAGAATTTATATTTAAAAGGGAAGCAGATCATAAAAGTTTGGAAATTTTGCAGCTCGAACATGTGGTAGAAAAGAAAAACTCATTTTCTGGGGAGGAATTCAAGGCTGCAGAACTTTGCATAAGTGAAGAAGAGCTGAATGTTAATAGCCAAGACAATGGGGAAAATGCCTCCAGGGCATTTTGGAGACCTTCACAGCAGCCCCTCCCATCACAAGCCTAGAGGCCTAGAAGGGAAAAATGGTTTTGTGGGCCAGGCCCAGGGCCCTGCTGCTCTGTGTAGCCTCAGGACATGGCGCCCTGCATCCCAAATGCTCCAGCTCAGCCATGGCTAAAAGGGGCCAAGATAAAGCTCAGGCCATTGCTTCAGAGGGTGCAAGCCTCAAGCCTTGGTGGCTTCCACGTGATGTTAGGCCTGTGGGTGTACAGAAGGCAAGAGTTGAGGTTTGGAGTCCTCTGCCTAGATTTCAGAGGACATATGGGAACATCTAGATATCCAGGCAGAAGTCTGCTGCAGGGTCAGAGCCCTCATGGAGAGAACTCTACTAGGGCAGTGCAGAGGGGAAATATGGGGTTGGATCCCCCACACAGAGTCCCCACTTGAACACTGCCTAGAGGAGCTGTGAGAAGAGGACCAGCATCCTCCAGACCCCCGAATGGTAGATCCACTGACAGCTTGCACCATACATCTGGAAAAGCCACAGGCACTCAATGCCAAGCCCTGAAAGCAGACACAGGGGATGTACCCTGCAGAACCAAAGAAGTGGAGCTGCCCAAGGCCTTGGGAGCCCACTGCTTGCATCAGCATGCCTTAGATGTGAGACATGCAGTCAAAGGAGATTATTTCAGAACTTTAAGATTTAGTGACTACCTTGCTGGATTTTGGACTTGCATGGGGCCTATAGCCCCTTTGTTTTGGCCAATTTCTTCCTTTTGGAATGGAAGAATTTACCCAATGCCTGCACCCCCATTGTATCCTGGAAATAACTGACTTGTTTTTTATTTTACAGGCTCATTGGTGGAAGGGAGTTGTCTTGTCTCAGATGAGACTTCCAAAGTCTCTTAGGACTTTTGAGTTAACACTGGAATGAGTTAAGACTTTGGGGGACTGTTGGGAAGGCATGATTGCATTTTGAAATGTGAGAAGGACATGAGATTTAGAAGGGTAGAAAGATATGGTTTGGCTCTGTGTCCCCACCCAAATCTCATGCTGAATTGTAATCCCCAACGTTGGGGGAGGGACCTGGTAGGAGGTGATTGAATCATGGGGGTGGATTTCCACCTTGCCGTCCTCATGATAGTAAGTTCTCATGAGATTTGGTTGTTTTAAAGCACATAGCACTTTCCCCCCTTTGCTCTTTCTCTCTCCTGTCACCATGTGAAGATGTACTTGTTTCCCCTTTGCCTTCCATCATGATTGTAAGTTTCCTGAGGCCTCCCAGCCATACTTCCTGTACAGCATGCAGAACTGTGAATACATTATGCCTCTTTTCTTCATAAATTACCCAGTCCCAGATAGTTCTTTATGGCCATGTGAGAACTGACTCATACAACCAGTGAAGAGGAGGTAGGTACAACTTTAAATAGGATGGTCAGAGAAGCCCTCTCACTTAGAAGGTGATGGAAGCAGGGAATGGAGCCATGTGGCTATCTAGTGAATAAAATCCACACAGAGGGAATTGAAAATGTAAAGTCCTGGTGGGTCCAAAGAGAAGTGAGGAGGCCAATGTGGCTGGAGTGAGCAAGACGTGAGATGTTTGTTGGACATCAGCCGAGAGAAGTAATAGGGGCTAGGGAGGGGGGCACCGTATCCTGAAAGTCCTTGTACCACCAATGGTTAGTTTCCTCTCATACTCCTCCTCCCCTTCTCTGTGCTGCTTTCTTGCCCTCAGGCTTCTGGCTAGATTTGGCCAATGGGATGCACTGTCAGGAGATTAAAGAGTGGGAAGGAAGAAAAACCAGGTCTTCTTTTTCAAATGGTGTCTCTAGCAGGGGCCACATCTCTGGCTCCAGCTCCCAACAGACAGACCTGACATGTTTCCAGCTCCAGTGGGGCAGCTCCAGCTCTCAGACTCCAGTAACATGGACTCCTCTCTTTATTCCCACATGTCTTGGGAGAATTGGTGGGCCCTGCGTTTGCTAAACTTGTGGCTACTCCACTTTCTCTTGGTTACTCTTTCAGCTCTTCTAGCACATTTATAACTAATTCCCTACATTAAATAATCTCTACTAAATTACCTGGTATGGATTGTGTTTCCCAGTTGGACTCTGACTGATAAAGACTCCACAGGCCCCTGTAAGACTTGGGCTTTTACTCTAAGTAAAATGGGCAGCCATTGGGGGGTTGAGTAGAGATTCCTGAGTTGCCTTGAAGCCTGAATGAATAGAAAAACAGTTGTGTTTCCAAAAATGTTTCTTTTGAAGACACCTGCCCAACATCACACAGAATTTATGATGGGACAGACTCATTGTGCCTGCTCCTCTGCTCTCTACTCCATTTTAAGTAAATGGCATTGAGAACCTCAGAAACTTCAAAAACACAGAGAGATGTTTGCATATTCTCTAACAGTTTTGTACATGACTCCAACTCTTTGAAGTTCTTTGGAGGTCAGAGAGGATACTGAGAAGGTCCAGTCATCATTGACAGGACCTCACCAATAATGCAGAGGAAGGTTTTTGTCTGTTTGATTTCCTGGGAGAGTGCCAGTTTTAGCAGAGAAGGGGAAGAAAATCCAGCCCCTGGGGAGCCCCTGCAATATCCTAGGCACCCTGCCAAGCAATTTTACATCCAATGGCTCATTTAATCCTACAAGGACCCTGCTCAGTGGATATTAATATCTTTATTTTGAAAAAAAGTGCTTTCAGAGAGGTTAGGTAACTAGTCTAAGGTCATACATCCTCTTATTCCATCAACAAGTGGATCAAGGACCAGTATAACCACTCAAGGGACCATGAAGTCAGTACAGTGTGGAGTCTTTGAGCAAAGTCATTGAATGAGAAAGCCAGATCTTTGGACTAAAAGTCATTTTGCCTCTCTGAGTCTCAATTTCCTCATCTGTAAAGTGGGAATAACATCAGTGCTATCCATTTCAAAGAATGTTTCTGAGCATTTAAATGAACTAATGTGTGGGAAGCACTTGGCAAATTTTAAAGCTCTGTACTAAAAACCCTTAACCCAAGGTCCATGTCT